CACTGGAGGCTTACCAAAGCCTGACTTATATGGCAGCGGAACGATCTATAAAAAATAATCGCATTGTATTCGGGCCCGGTGTCCATTTAATCAGATCAAATGACCTTTGGTCGGGGTCAAACACCGGATACACTTGAATGCTTCATTAAACCAAAACAAAACAACACCATAGACGACTTGTCCGTACCGGTCATACCTGATGGGAAGTGTACACACACTCACTGATTTGCGCATTTTTGCCTGGTATTCTACCAGTCCTGACTTATTGCCTTCATGATAACTCATTTCATGCTCTATCGTGCGTCGGTTTTAGCTGCCCGTTTGAACGAAGCAAGACAGGACAGGACAGTTGAAAGTAGGATCGATGAGAAAATAGAGAACTTTCGTAGACTATGGTTGCTAAGAAAATGAGAAGATGCTCGAGTCCCGCTGTGTACGATGATATCACTCAGTGTCTCCAACCGTCGATCACCAGAAAAAAAACAATCCCGAGCCTGACGCGGCCTATTTGACCGAGTCTCCTGGTTGGTGTTTTCATACCCCCGTGCCAGGTCTTAGTTTGGCCAGCCTTGGTTTTTTTTCCAACTGGTATCTGCCTGAACAAACCGTCCTGGCATGCGTAGCACATCACCCAGCGAATGTACTGTATGAAGGTCAACCATTTGCTTCAGTAAGNACTGCGGTTACCCAAAACTGCGCCTAGCCTCAGCATTGCTTTTCCTGTTTAATGTTGCCTATACAGTAGTGTTCGAACACCGGCAGTTTATCAATATCCTGTTTACCTAATGGCCAAGTCTCTGCGCCATATAGCAGCACCGACCGGGCTTCTCAACTGTACACTCGACCTTTCACAGATAGCAGGATGTCGCAACCGCGCCAAAGACGTCTCAAGTTGGCAAATGCCAATCAAACCTTGGGTATGCGTGCCGACGTTTCATCCGTGATGCGTCCACCGGGTGAGATGTAGCTGGAAAAATAACTAAGCTTATCAACTTGCTCTATTACTTCCCCGGTTAGAGTGAGGTTGGATGCTGGACCAACCCAGTCTTGTGGTAACATTTTGCACTTTGAAGGTGCAAAACGCATACCGAACCTGGTTACACTAGCACTTAAACTATCTAGAAAGGCTTGCAACTTGCCTGGATCTTCGCTTCACAGTACAATGTGGCATGCACACTCCAGATCAGGCAGTCTGCCATCTGTGACCAAATTGACACCACTATCCCTGTTCGAGGATAAGGCTGTTTCCATAATCAAATCTATAACAAAGTTAAATAGAATAGGTGTTAGGGGACAACCCTGACGAACACCGTTTCCGTGGTGATCTGGAGCGAAAAAGTGCTGCAAACTCCGACTCGACTTCAGCTATTAGTGTCAAGGGATCGTAATATTGAGATAAACTTCTCGGGCACACCCTTCAGGGAAAGAAAGCGCCAGAATATAGAGCTGTCGACTGAGTCGCAGGTCGTTTTCAGACTGAGGAAGATAAAAATGATGAGTGTACGAAAAAAATGTCGGTGCTCCAGAATTTAGCGAAGAGTGAAGATGTGATCTATACAGTCCAGTCTGGTCCTCATCCGTACACCCTTTTTTGTGATTGTAAAACTATCCTATATTTCTACCTTTTTCGAAGCAGTCAGCCTCTTGTAATAAACTTGCATAAAGTTCACACAGACTACTTCATCTACCAGTTCTTGAACACTTCAGCTATCCGAGGACTGGGAAATCGATCAAAAGTGATAATTTTGTGATCTTTATGTAAAAAAGGAGCTGCATTCTACCCTAGTTTTGTCTAATGAATCAAAGTGTGAGGTAGGTTGTTTGGTCACTCAATCAAGCTGCGCTTGCATTTGACCACAACTGGGTGTTTCACCCTGGATTCTAGTTGAATTTTTGCCATGCCAACGGGGATTATCGTATTGATACATGCACACACAAATACACTAGTCTGTTGGGACATTCAGAACGTTCCGGTCGACAAAATCATGGAACTTGAGGTCATTTTTGTCTAAATTACCTGTGTCCAAATATCAGTTATCGTCAAATTGAATGATTTAATTATTTCACTGATAAAATTCACTCGGGTTCATCTCTCACACTTATTATCAGTGGAAGTAGGAAGAGAATTTGCTGCACTCCATCGATCGGTCGGTATCTAGCCCGTGCTTAGGCAAAATGCCACTTTGGCAATAAACTGCGAAAACGTTGATATTGCATCACTGACTATCCCTCTCCCCCCGCTCGTGATCGATCAATGTCAATATCTGAGTTCATACAAGTAAAATCCAGCTCATGTTCTTACCGGACAGGTCTTACAGTTCTATTAGTACTAATGTACTATGCAAAATCCACCTTTCTTCTGACGCTCTGTATAGGAAGAAATAGCTTGTTTGCGGTTGCCCAAATAAAGTAGGTCTTCTTTGTGCAGAAGTGCGCATACAGTCAAGTTACCGGGTATCCGGTTGGTCCCCTACACGCACCCACGTGTGTGTGCACATGGTTCCGACTTGGGTTTCATATTCAGTTTGTACAACCACTAACCATATACACTTTCGTACGCCGGTTTTGGTTGCTGCTTTTTGGCTGCCTATTTGGATAAAAGAGCAGCAACCACCGGCAACCACCAAACGTCAAGTTACCAAGTTTAGTACCGTCTTCAAGGTCAACAGCGAGAACGATTCTNCAAACCTAGGGTTGGAATACTATAAATAAAAACAAGTACAGGGATCATTACCAACGCACTGACGATGTCACCTCAGCTGGTGATGAAACGTTTGCGATCTAAACGCCAGGCTCAGCGAACACAAAACCCCACAAACCATCAAACTGAGCTACAAATCACACCCATATTCAAAAGAGCAGAATGTAGATTGGAAGGTTCAGAGCAGAAGAAAAAAGTGCAAAATTAATCAATTTGCATAGCGCCCATTCACGACCTAAATGGAGCTTACGAGGTTATCACCTCCTCCCCTCTCTCATCTTGAAGAGAGTGGGAGGGAGCTCATCCGGTTCTGCTATCTTGCCTCGCTTCAAAGCTTGAATGCAAGACCGAACTTCTGCTTTTGTTGGAGGATCGCATGACACTGCCCACGGAACTTCAGTTACAGATGAAGTAACCTGACCAGCTAAACTATTCGCTGAAGTATTCCGCCCAGCGATCAAGTCGCGTTCATCCCGATTGTGAATAGCTTGTCCCGTCTTATCGCAGACTGTTTCACTAACTGAAGTTCGCCGACCTCCCGTGTTGCGTATCAGTCGGAACAGTCTTTGACGATTCCCTGATGCAGCTGCTACTTCCATTTCACTAGCAATTGCTGTCCACCAGTGCTCACGGTCCTTCTTGAGGCTCTTTGTAAGCTGACGTCGTAGATGTCACCTAATTCTATTTTGATCCTGGCAGATTGAGATTTGTTGTGTTTCATCCATCAGGACTACTGACTCATTGCCCTTAGCCGCAAAATGGATTAGGAAAAACGTGTACATGGTTGGCAATCCAGTTCTGTCACACACACACACACACACACACTTGCATATCAGTTCACCTGCAGTTACGGTGACGCATACATAGTCAGAACTAATCGTCAAATAGATATCCCTTGACTTGTTGCTGCACACGAAATTGACCCGACGGACTTGTCGAATTTTTTTTTTTCATATTT